CAGAACATATACAAAGAACTCTTAAAACTCAACAATAGGCTGGGTGCGGTGGCTCAAGCCTGTAATCCCAGCACTTTGGGAGGCCAAGACGGGCGGATCACGAGGTCAGGATATCAAGACCATCCTGGCTAATACAGTGAAACCCCGTCTCTACTAAAAATACAAAAAACTAGCCGGGCAAGGTGGTGGACACCTGTAGTCCCAGCTACTCGGGAGGCTGAGGCAGGAGAATGGCGTAAACCTGGTAGGCGGAGCTTGCAGTGAGCTGAGATCCAGCCACTGCACTCCAGCCTGGCCGACAAAGCAAGACATTCATCATCTTTAGTCTTTAGAAATGCAAGTCAAGGCTGGGCGCGGTGGCTCATGCCTGTAATCCCAGCACTTTGGGAGGCCGAGGCGGGCAGATCACAAGGTCAGGAGACCGAGACCATCCTGGCTAACACAGTGAAACCCTGTCTCTACTAAAAATACAAAAAATTAGCCAGGTGTGGTGGCAGACACCTGTAGTCCCAGCTACTTGGGAGGCTGAGGCGGGAGAATGGCGTGAACCAGGAAGGCGGAGGTTGCAGTGAGCCAAGATCGCACCACTGCACTCCAGCCTGGGCAACAGAGCGAGCCTCCATCTCAAAAAAAAAAAAAGGAATGAAAGAAATGTTAGTCAAAACCACAATGAGACACCACACCCACTAGAAGGGCTCTGATCAGAAAGTTAGATCATGCCACATGTTGGCAAGGATGTGGAGGAAAAGGAACCCTCATTCCCTGCTGGTGGGAATATAAAATGATACTTCAATTTTGGAAAAAGTCTAGCAGTTTCTCAAATGGTTAAACAGTGTTATATGACCCAATAATTTCACTGCTAGGTGTATACTAAAGAAATGAAAACATGTCTGTGCAAACACTTGTACACAAATGTTTATAGCAGCATTATTCATAACAGCCAAAAGGTGGACATAATCCAAATTCCCACCAACGAATGAATGGGCAGACAAAATGTGTTATCCATACAGTGGAATGTTATTCAGACAAACTAAGAAATGAGGTGCTGACACATGCTGCAGCAGAGATTCCCTTGAAGCATGACACGAGGTGAAGAAGGCAGAGACAAAAGTCTGCACAGAGGATTCCATTTCTATGAAATGCCCAGAGTAGGCAAATCTATAAGACAGAGTAGACCAGTGATTGCCAGGAGCTGGAGGGTAGTAGGGAATGGGGAGTGACTGCTACTGGGACAGTGTTTCTTTTTGAGGTGATGGTTACACAACTTTGTATTAAAACCACTAAAACCCACTACTGAATCATATGCTTTTTTTTTTTTTTTTTTTTTTTTTTTTTGAGACAGAGTCTCACTCTGTCGCCCAGGCTGGAGTGCAGTGGCAGTATCTCGGCTCACTGCAAGCTCCGCCTCCCGGGTTCATGCCATTCTCCTGCCTCAGCCTCCTGAGTAGCTGGTACTACAGGCGCCCGCCACCACACCCAGCTATTTTTGTTTTTGTACTTTTTTTTTTTTGGAGACGGAGTCTCGCTCTGTTGCCCAGGCTGGAGTGCAGTGGCAGTATCTCAGCTCACTGCAAGCTCCGCCTTCCGGGTTTACGCCATTCTCCTGTCTCAGCCTCCCGAGTAGCTGGGACTACAAATGCCCGCCACCTCGCCCAGCTAGTTTTTTGTATTTTTTAGTAGAGACGGCGTTTCACCGTGTTAGCCAGGATGGTCTTGATCTCCTGACCTCGTGATCCGCCCGTCTCGGCCTCTCAAAGTGCTGGGATTACAGGCATGAGCCACCGCGCCCGGCCTCATATGCTTTTAATGTGTGGATTTTATGGTATGTGAATCTTGATCAAGTGTGTTTTTAAAAACTGGATTGGATTATGGCGGCTCCCATTGGTGCTGAGCGCAGCCAGCAGCCCGAGGCCTTTAGTGACGCCTTTCTTTAGCAACTGCAGACAGCAAAAAGCAGAGCTGCAGGCTGAAGGCTCAGAGTAATGGACGGAGCCCTAAAATGAGTAAGAATGGGTGCAGGCAGGTCCTGAGTGGTCACCAGAAAAGAGAAAGCGGAGTTGGTGCCATCACATACATCCACCTCATGCCTTATTCTGAAATTCGAGTGTGAGAACACATGTCGACACGTAAACCAGCTATGATTTTAAAGGCGTTGGCTGTGGTCTTGAAAAGAGTCATATGGAAACCCAACACCTTAAGATTTTGAGTGTAAGGATCTTCACGATGAAATTTCTGAAAATGGTTCAGTCTCAGCTTCAGTTCCTGAGGCTGGAGGAGGATCCTCTAGAAGCCACATTGTAGCAGCTGCCCTGAGTCAGGACCTCCACTTGGACCCAAAGCAGGATGTCTCTCATGCATGTCGCTCCCAGCGACGCCAGACGGGATCCGCGCGGGGCTGCCTCTGCTGCTCATTATTAATGCCTCAAAAGTCATTTCCATGGTTCTTTGGGCTTCATCTTTAAAGGATTCAAGTGACTGAGACTATCCCAGAAAACCTTGCAGCTAGCGAAACTAGAGTACAACTAAGAACATTTTCAGACCTCCAGTGTGGATGACCTGAGCATCATCTCGCAAACTGAGGGGACTACAAGGATGGTAAACTGAAATGGACATGAATATACTCTGTTAGGTCAGACTAAAAAAAAAAAAAAAAAAATGGGCCAGGTGCGATGGTTCACACCTGCAATTCCAGCACTTCGGGAGGCCGAGGCGGGCAGATTATGAGGTTAGGAGTTCGAGACCAGCCTGGCCAACCTGGTGAAACCCCATCTCTATTAAGAATACAAAAAATTAGCCAGGCGTGGTGGCAGGCGCCTGTAATCCCGGCTACTCAGGAGGCTGAGGCAGGATAATCACTTGAACCCAGGAGGCAGAGGTTGCCATGAGCCGAGATCGTGCCACTGCACTCCAGCCTGGGCGACAGAGAAACTGTCTCAGAAAAAAAAAAAAAAAAAAAAAAAATTGTGGGTTGCTTTAAAAACCTATAGAACTGGCTGAGTGTGGTGGCTCACCCCTGTAATCCCAGCACTTTGGGAGACCGAGGCGGGTGGATCACCTGAGGTCAGGATTTCGAGACGAGCCTGGCCAACATGGCGAAACCCTGTCTCTACTAAAAATAAAAATAAAAAAAATAAATTAGCTGGGCTTGGTGGTGGCACATGCCTGTAAGCAGGAGGCCGAGGCAGGAGAATCGCTTGAACCCAGGAGGCGGAGGTTGCAGTGAGCCAAGATTGTACCATTGCACTCCAGCCTGGGGGACAAGAGCAAAACTCTGTCTCAAAAACAAACAAACAAACAAAAACCCTATAGAACCAACGTAGTGCTTTAAAATATGGCATCATTGCACTAGTTCATTCCAACAACCTAGGTATATTCAACAGTGTGGGCAGACTGTTAAGGGCGTATGGTACTATCACAATTTTTTGTTTGTTTTGAGACAGAGTCTCGCTCTGTCACCCAGGCTGGAGTGCAGTGGCATGAGCTTGGCTCACTGCAGCCTCCACCTCCCAGGGTTCAAGCAATTCTCCTTTCTCAGCCTCCCAAGTAGCTGGGATTACAGGTCTGCACCACCACACCCAGCTAATTTTTGTATTTTTAGTAGAGATGAAGTTTTGCCATGTTTCCCAGGCTGATCTTGAACTCCTGACACCCACCTCGACCTCCCAAAGTGCTGGGATTACAGGTGTGAGACGCTGCGCCTGGCCAGCTACTATCACCATTTTTAAAATCACAAGTGTGGCAAGAGTTTAAAGTATTTTAAATTTAATTGTGCTAATATTTAACATGTACATCATGTTTTGTTCTCAAGCTGTATCACTGCCCACATAGTTAACAACATTGAATCCAAACCACTAACTCATGAGAGGCCATCCCAGGAGAATAAGGCAGTTAGAGGGGAATCTTCCTAGAGCCTCTTTTGTGACTGTTGAGCCTACTTCGGGAATGTATTGCTTCTTTTGAAGTTTCCCTCTGGGAGGAGCCAAGATACTCTTACAGGCAAAAAGAGGCTTCAGGTGACACACAGACATTACACAACCCCCTGCCCAGCCCTCACCTTCAGTGAACCCCTGCCTTCCAGCATCACTCGCCTCAGGTGTTGGAGCAGAGGCCGGCCTGCAGTTCTAGGGTCTCCTGGGCATGCCTGCCTGTTACTGGCACAGCAATCTTTGTGTGTGGCCCAAGGATCTTCTATACCCATGGCTGGAGCAGCAGGGCAGAAAACAGCCTCCACTTTTGAGGGAGATTTTAGCACTGCGTGTCCTCAGACCCTGTTCCCTCAAGGGACATCTCACTTCAGTTCTTTTCAGAAAGGCCCACTGGGCTGGGTGCAGGGACTGGCCTGTAATCCCGATACTTTGGGAGGCTGAGGCAGGAAGATCACTTGAGCCCAGGTATTCAAGACCAGACTGGGCATGAGACCCCTGTCTCTACAAAAAAATTAAAAAATTAGTCAGGTGTGGTGGCTTGCACCTATAGTCTCAGCTGCTTAGGAGGCTGAAGCAGGAGAATCCCTTGACCCGGGGAGGTTGAGGCTGCAGTGAGCCATGATCGTGCATCCCCACTCCAGCTTAGGCAACAGAGTGAGACCCAGTCTCAGGAAAAAAGAAAGGCTAACTGGCATCTGAAACTTTTTGTGAGATTCAATTTCCTTCTGCTGCTAAGATAAAAATAAGAAAGTATTACATATACGAAACAAAATAATTTCACATTTCTTAAAATATTCCTGTAGGCAGCTTGGCCAGGTTACTTTGTATGCATCCAACCACGGATGGCACTGGAATGCCTTCCACCTGTGCTGGGAGTGGCGCAGGTCCCCAGGTGGCAGGGTGCATGCCACCCAAGTCAGGACAACAGCGGGGACTGAGCTTCGCTCCAACTTTTGGTCTAGAGAGACCACCCCAAAGTCTGGACATTTGGAACATATTTTAATCTAGGAGGCACCCAATGTGAGGAACAAACTCACCCGTCCAGACCCAAAGAATGGACTCAGAGACACGGAGAACAGTGAAAGAGGCTTTTAATAAGATCGCGTGTCTAATGAGCAGGCATACCCGGCAGAGTTTCAACAAGCAATGTATCCCCTAGTGTGCAGGCTCCTCCTTCCTTACAGGCTGAGTACCATGGGGTCACAATCTTCCCAGACGGTGCTTACTGGTTGTTAGCTGGGGGCTTTAGGCATTTTCTTTAGGATTGTCTTGCTGCATTTTGTTACAGCCTACAGTGCATTGCAATCTTAGTCCACTTAGGAGCTCTTCAAGTATTTGACTTATGACCTAAGTAGCTAGGCTGGCTGGTAGGAACAGACAAAGTAAGCTATTTTGCAGGCCAGTAAACTTTCCTTTTAGACTCAACGTTTTTGGTTCGGGTGAGGGCAACTAAGAAAGTGGGGAGGGGGCAGAGGGGGGAGCCGACAAGAAGGCATCGGCTAGCCTGAAGGGCCTAGCACATCCCGTTTCTTCCGTAGTTTGCTGACCTAAGCCAATTCAAGGCACTTTGTCTTAAAAATGAACCACTGTATACCTTATTTCCTTCACCCAAGTAACAGCTTAAAGTTTTACTTTGAGTCACCTGTTCTTTGACCAACAGTTTCTAAATAGCTGTATACTGCCCCCCAAAAAAGTTGTATTTAACAAGGAGCAGCCCCTATTTGAATGATTTAGCAGCAAGCTAAGGCAAAGACACACAGTGCTCACATTCCAGAATAAGAACACATTTATCCAGATGAGCCAGAAGTCCAGGGTCACGCGGCTTCGCCTGCAGGAGATGCTTTACACACTCTCCCATTTTCTTTTCAGAACATACACTGTGGGAATTCACAAACTAAAACAAATTTCTGGTGACTTCCCATCTGTACATTATGCTTTATAGCTTCAATTGAATTTTTTTAAAACTTAACTTCCAAGCTGGCCTGCCTCACACTGTGAGTCAAAAGTAACCCTAAAAAGCAAAAACACACAGCACTGAAGGGTCTCTGGGTGGTAATGTCAGCGTGGGCTGGGGAGGTGAGACCAAGCACATGGCCAGCAGACCGCAGGACGGGCCCTGGGGCTCATCATACAGACATATGACAAGATAGTGAAGTCACAACTTCAGATGTCATTGGAGTTATCTATATATGACACACACATTATAAACAAATAACCTGGAACATTTCACAACATATGACACCTGTTCTACCTGGGAATGCAAACCCTGAGCTGAAAATAAGAACACAGATGTGGGAGACACCACAGCCTGAAGTTGCTCTCCTCCTTCCCTCCTCTCCTCTCCTCCAGTCCCGTGATGGGTTACGCTGAGCCAGCAATGTGCATGCACTAACTCCACAGGTGTTAAAGGTAAGGTCACTTCTAAACATACAACAAAATTACCTTAAACATTAGGACGTTAAAAGTTAAAACCCCAGCCAGGCGTGGTGGCTCACACCTATAATCCCAGCACTTTGGGAGGCTGAGGTGAGTGGATCACTTGAGGTCAGGAGTTCGAGACCAGCCTGATCAACATGGTGAAATCCTGTCTCTACTAAAAATACCAAAAAAAAAAAAAAAAAAAAAAAAATTAGCCAGATGTTGTGGCAGGCGCCTGTAATCCCAGCTACTCAGAAGGCTTAGGCAGGAGAATCGTTTGAACCTAGGAGGCAGAGGTTGCAGTGACCCGAGGTTGCGCCACTACACTCCAGCCTGGGCCACAGAGTGAGACTCCATCTCAAAAAAAAAGAAACAGCTGCTGGCCATCAGTCCTGACAGACCACGGCACTTACTACCCACGGACAGGCTGCTTCAGACCTTGGCACTGGCGTGCACACTGGTTTTAAAGAGGAATTATGCAAGGAAGCAAGGGAACAGCCAGCCTTTGGTGGCAATGGCGCTCACGGGGTTGCCCAGAAGGCTGCTTCTGCCACCCGCACCGCACACTCACATCTTCCCTTCCTCCTGACTTCCATTTCCTCTCCCTGCTCTGAGGATCGAGCCCTGACAGGGACAGACTGTGAGGGACAAGGAGACTGTTGGCCCCAACCAACCCCAGTCGTGCCACATGGAGAGAGGGAAGAACTCTCAGGAAGATGCTGAAAGGGACCACGTCAGCCAAAGCAGAAGGGGCTTTTCTAGAATCAGGAAAGGGAATGGGACCGACCCGGAAAAGGCACTGTGCCTTTTCTGTGCTGTGGCAGAAGCTTCGATTCCAAACCGAGATACGGACCACACTCCTGAAAGCACCCATGGCAGGTCGTGACGGAAGTTATTTTGGCAAAGGGCCAAAGAAAAGGTCTGGCCCAAAATAACTGACCTGAAATAACAGAAATTTCCCTTTCCTAACCTTCTTTCGTTCAACTTAGTATTCCAATAGATGAGAATTTGGTTTAACGTGAGGCCTCCCTCCCTCAGAAGGCACAGCAGCCCGCAGGGAGGGCTCAGCCCCATTCTTGGTTAGGTTTGGTTTTGGCTGGAGGTGCCACAAGTTCTGTGCCATGGAAGCGATTTCCCTCCAGCTCTGGAGACAGGTGGGGCACAGCTTCAGTGACTCTTCTTTTTTTGTGGGAAAAAGGTGTACTTTGTAGGGTTAAACTCTTCCCAGATGCGCTCAAATTCTTCCAGAAAAAGCCGCACGTACTCATCGTCCTCCATGATGAGAACGTTCTCCCTGTTGTTCTGGATGGCTTGCGTGGTCCAGTTGAGCGAGCCAGTGATGAGCACCCGCTTGTCCACGATGGCAAACTTGTGATGCATGTAGCCCAGGTCCTGATCGTGCCGGACCTGGATCCCTGCAGAAAGGACAAGGTGATTTCATTCCACGCAGGAGTCCCGCCTCCAGTGTGGACTGTTCCTGGGGGCTACTGGCTTTATGCTTCCAGTTTGGTGGGTCAGGAAAGCCCGCCACGCTTTCACAGAGTGGTGGCAGCTAAGCTCCCAGGAGGGACACTTGAGAACCACAGACAGGACATCACACATGGGGCCAGAGCATCACACACAGGCCGTGGGGGACTGGGCGGGCCGTGGTCTGGGTGAGACCACACCTCCGAGTCTATGGCAGCCAGTATGTCCCTCCGGGGTTACTGCTTGCTGTCGAAGCTGTCACTAACCCGGTCAGAAGTGACCAGGGCAAAGACAGAGTGTGAGCCTTCAGGTTCTGACTCTTCCACAGCTAAGGCTAAGAGCCGTGCCCACTCTGCCCAGAGAGGCCCCGGTGTCTGGCAACAGAGCCCAATTTGCTGGCACAACCTCAGCCACCAAGGCAGGAAGGGCCCTAACTAACAACGCACAAATGAATTCTCCTCTTTTGCACCCCCGTTTCCTTCACCAAAGAACCAGGCATCCCCGCCTCTGCTCTTCCCAGCTTTCAAACTCCTCCTGGGAAGGGCCTGTGTCTGTCTCCCCTGGAATCACTCACGACCTGCCTCACTCATGACCTGCTCAAGGAATGAGGCCGTCAGAAATGGGGGTTAGAAGAAGTTTTAAACAGGCTGCCATGGAACACAGCTGCCAGATTTTCCAAATCAAAATACAGGACATCCAAGTTAAATGGAACTTCAGATAGAGAGTCATCTTTGAAGGGAAGCGTGTCCCACGGAGTACTGGGAACATAACTTAAAAATCACTCCCTGTGCATGGAACTCACATTTAATTGTGCCTCCCGAATTGGGCCTGGCAGGATGGGAACGCGGTGGCTTCCTGACCTCGGGGATCCAGTCCTTCTTACACTCTGGCCACTCCGCCCGCACGTCTTGTCGGCACGGCCCTCCAAACACATTCCTCTACATGGTAGGCAATCTGAAGCCCCACCATTGCCGACACCTCCTGCCTCCGCTGGGATCCACTGCCCACCTCCCCGTCCCCTCCCCGCAGCCCACCACCTCTGGCCACAGAGGACTCCCTGCCGTTCCTCACAAGGAAGTCAGTATGTGACCCAAGGCGTCTGTGCTGCTACCCCTTCCAGCTGCATGCCTCTCCCTCCGGACAGCCCACGCGTGTCTGCAAGGCCCCTGCCCTGAGTGTCACTGCCCCTGGGCAGCTGACCTGGCCCACGCCACTTCCTCCCACACCACTGCCTCCTTACCCTGCTTTATGAAATTTTCTTGACCCTTCTTAGTGCGCTAAATGAAATATTCGCGACTTAGTTGGCATTTCCGTAGGAACCTGGCCTTGTGCCCTAGGATGTTCCAGCTCCTCACAAATACTGGCACGCAGGGGACATTCCTTGAACAGATGAATGCCACCGGACAGCCTCGAAGTCAGCGAGGATGCTGGGAGGCCATCCCAGAGGGAATCCGATGGGACCTTGGTCTAGGGGCCCTTGAAGGGTCTTCACCAACCTCAGCTTCTACGACTCGAAAAGTAACTCAAACAGAACTGTACTGTGCACGCCTGGAGGTCCCAAACCCTCCCGTTAAAATCACCAACGCATTGGACGACAGCTCTTGAGGCTGCCCCAAAGAGGAGGAGACATCCTCAATACAAAAACCACGTGCCCCACTCTGCTTCCACGTGGCGTGCAACATGCCCCACACCACCCAGGGCAGGGAGGGACCCTGGCTGACTCTGGAGAGGCTGCTCTGCGGCCCAAGTCAACGAGAGGCCATGGCTGTGCAGAAGGAACGGGCGGCAGTGACCACTGCCCAGCTTGGATAGTTGCCAGGCTCCACACGTCTCTCAGTCACTGTGACCACCAGAATGATCAGCTCCAGCGGGAGCACACGCAGGCGTGACTCTCTGGGTGCCTGAGTGATGGAGACAGAGAGAGGCCCAAGAGTCTGTGGGTGCACAAAAGGCAAGAGCCGGCTGGGCCGCGGAACTGGGCCAGGATGGACTGAGAATCCTCAGGCGGGACAAGGACCCCAAATATTCACACTTCCTGGTCCCTTCTGTCCCCACCCCATGAGAGAGGTGCCCCCGCCAGAGAGATATGTGTTCCACTCCTTTTGCAGCTGGGAAAACGAACGTCCTGGCGCTGCTTTCTGGAACATATGTTTAGGTCTCCCAGAGCCCGGTGGCCTGAAGTTCACTCGGCAGCAGGTGGCCGCCTCTCCCCAGAGCCCTTCAGACTGGAAGTCCAAACACAACCCTGGCGTCCAGGTCCCCGGCCAGCAGGATCCAGGTCACCACAGGCCGTCCGGGGGTCTCTGGCAGCCGGCAGGAGGGCGGGCCCGGGCTGCAGCAGTCCCGAAAAAGTTTTTCGCTGGCGGCGCCCGGGGAGTTGCTAGGGGAGCCTGCTCTGCCTCTAACCCGGCACACGCAGGCCCAGCCGCTTCCAGCATGCCAGGACAGGTCACTTAGAAAACTGCCCCCACCGCGGAGGCACCGAGGGCCCGGCTCGCTTATGCCCGCGCAGCCTGCTAGACCTTTCGTGGGGGCTCTGCTCTCTCCGCGTTACACCACCCCTACTCCACAACGCCACGAGGAAAGTAAATGAGGCCTTAGCCCGTTCCCAAACCCCCTCCCCTAAGCGTCCACCTTTGCCTAGGACCCCGCGTGGCTCAGGCCGGCCTTCTCCCCCTGGACCCCGCCGGGCCTACCTGCCTTGCGCAGCAGGCCGATTTGCGAGCCGTTGAGGGCCATGTAGTCGCAGTCGGTGACTACCCGCACTCGCACCCCGCGCTGGTGCAGCAACTGCACAGCGCGGCCCAGCTGCGGACTGGAGAAGGCGAACAGGCAAAGCTCCAGGCTGGCGCGGGCGGCCAACAGGGCACGCAGCAGGCGGCTCAGCGCGCTCTCGCCGTGGGGGAGGCCGCACGGGCAGCCCTCGGGGAGCCCGGCCAGCGCCGCGCCCGGAGCCCGCAGCAGAGCCTCGGTACAGGTCACCTGCGACGGGAAGAACAGCACCTCGCGCCGCGGCCGCCGCCGCCTGGACCGCAGCCAGCGCAGCACCCCGGGCAGCGCCTCCAGGGCCAGAGCCAGGCCCATAGCCGCCGCGGCCGCCACCTGCCACCGCAACCGCCCCATGCCGCTGCTGACCGGGGCCCCAGGGGCACGCCGCCGCACCCGAGTCTGCGCGCCCCCAGCCCCGGACCGCCACGCGCCAGGCCACGCCCCCGTCACGCGCCGCCAATGGCCACGTGCCAGGCCACTCCCAGCCCTCCATGGCCACATGCCATGCCACGCCCCCGTCACACCCCGCCAACGGCCACGTGCAAAGTCACGCCCCCAGTCCCCGAGGGCCACGCGCTAGGCCACGCCATGCCCCCACAACTGCCACTCACCAAGCTGAACCCACCCCTCCCACTAGCCCGCCCCCAGCCCTCAACGGGTGACCACGCCTCCCTCCACGCACCAGGCCACGCCCCCCGCCACAGGCCCCTAAAGCCAGGCCGCGCCCTCCATTTTCCTTCCAGCCTGGCGCCCGTCCCTGCCCACCTGGTCCCACCTGCCACCACGTGCCAAGCCGCGCCCCCAAGCCCGCGCCACCAGGCAGCACCTGCACACCTGCGGGCCACGGGCCCTAGCGCACCCGTCACCTGCCCAGGCCAGAGACTGCCCTCCGCCCTATAAACCTGAGCAACCCCGGCTCTCCTCGCTTGGAGCACAGCAGAGCTGCTCCGGAAATGTGGGGTCACACCTTCACTGTCTTCTCCCAAGCAGCTAGGCTAGGCTGGGGAAGGACCTGGGAACACAGATATCAGGGAATCAGCACGGCTGGAGGCAGCATTGGAACCCAGCGTACTGGAGGCCGTGGCAGAGTGGGGATGCCCAAGGGCAGAGCTAGGCCCCTAAAGGTTTTTTCCCAGCCCAACGGGATCTCCAACGTTGTTGGAAGGCCTGCCCTGCTTTAAGCATAAACAGAGGAAGAGACAAAGGCGGCCGACGGCACTGGCCCGGGGGCATAGGGAAATGGGCAATGTGTTGTTCTGGGCTGGATCCTGGAACAGAAAGAAGGCATTCACGGAAAAACTGGTGAGAGCCAAATAAAGTCTGGAGCTTAATCGCATTGTACCAATGTCAGTTTCTTAGCTTTGACAAATATATGAAAGGAATGTAAAAGGCTAACAAAGGAAGCTGGGTGGGGGTAAATGGAACTGTCTGTTCTACGAAACTTTTCTGTAAATCAAGTTACTCTAAATTAAAAGTTTATTAAAATATTCAACTTGCACCTTTCATATATAATCCAGCTATCCCACTCCTAGGAGAAAGGATGGGATCCATTAACACAAGCACATGTCCACCAGTGTTCCTGGCAGGCTTATGTGCCTAGAACAACCCAAACGCGCATCAGCAGGTAAATAGGTAAATAAGCTTTTGTATATCTATACAAGGGAATGCTATTTAGCAGTAAAATAGAATGAAGTGGCCTGGCACAGTGGCTCACACCTGTAATCCCAGAACTTTGGGAGTCTGAGGCGGGAGGATAGCTTGAGTTCAGGAATTTGAAACCAGCCTGGCCAACATGGTGAAACACTGTCTCTACCAAAAAATACAAAAATTAGCTGGGTGCGGGGGCATGTGCCTGTAATCCCAGCTGCTCAGGAGGCTGAGGTGGGAGAATCGCTTGCAGTGAGCCAAGATCATGCCATTATTGCACTCTAGCCTGGGTGACACAGCAAGACCCTGTCCCCCCCCTCAAAAAAAAAAAAAGTACTCATATATGCTACAACGTGGATGAATTTCATTAATACTGAGTGGGAAAAGCCAGACAAAAAGAGTACATACTGTGTTATTCCATTTACATAACATTCTAGAAAACGCAAACTAGACAGAGGGAAAGCAGACCAGTGTAGCCTGGAGGGGCCAACAAAGCCACAAGGAAGTGGACTGATGGATGTGTGTTTATCAACTTGACTGTGGTGGTTTCACGGGTGTACACATGTGTCAAATTGTATGGTTTAAATAAGTAAAATGTATGTCAGTGATTACGTCAATAAATTTTTTTTTTTTTTTTTTTGAGATGAAGTCTCACTCTGTTGCCCAGGCTGGAGTGCAGTGGCACAATCTCGGCTCACTGTAACCTTCACCTCCCGGGTTCAAGCAATTCTCCTGCCTCAGCCTCCGGAGTAGCTGGGACTACAAATGCACACTATCACACCCGGCTAAATTTTTTTTTTGTATTTTTAGTAGAGACGGGGTTTCATTGTGTTAGCCAGGCTGGTCTCAATCTCCTGACTTCGTGATCCGCCCGCCACGGCCTCCCAAAATGCTGGGATTACAGGCGTGAGCCACCGCGCCCTGCCAATAAAATTCTTAACAAAGCAAACGAGCACTTGAGTTTAGTGCTGGCTCCCAGGCTTCCTAGTTGCATGGTCTAGGGCAAGTTGATTCATCTCTTTGAACTTCACTTTCCTCATCTAAAACGATAATGAGAGGAGGGACTTGTAGTTATGGAAGTATAAAGAGGGACTCAAATCCCTCCAAAGCGGGATAAGCAAAAATAAAACGGGGGGAAATGGTCAAAAACAGCCACTTCATGGCTGGAAATCTACCAAAGGCAGACAACAACATGAGAAGCTTTATTTGATTTTTATTTATTTTTTGTCTTTCAGTTTCTATTTTTAATTTTGTGGGTATATAGAAGTTATATGTATTTATTGGGTACATGAGATATTTTGGTACAGACATGGAATTTGTAATAATCACATAAGGGTAAATGGGATATCCATCCCCTTAAGCATTTATCCTTTCTTTGTGTTGCAACATTTAGTTACTAGTTTTTTATTTTTTTATTTATTTATTTTTTTTCAGATGTAGTCTTGCTCTGTCACCCAGGTTGGAGTGCAGTGGCATGATCTCGGCTCACTGCAACCTCCATCTCCCGGATTCAAGCGATTCTTCTGCCTCAGCCTCCAGAATAGCTGGGATTACAGGCACCCACCACCATGCCCGGCTAATTTTTGTATGTTTAGTGGAGATGGGGTTTCACCATGTTGGCCAGGCTGGTCTCAAACTCCTGGCCTCAGGTGATCCACCCACCTCGGCCTCCCAGAGTGTTGGGATTACAGGTATGAGCCACCGTGCCTGGCCATTTGTGTTTATTTTTTATTTTTTGAGACGGAGTCTCACTTTGCTGCCCAGACAGGAGTACAGTGGTGCCATCTCAGCTCACTGCAACCTCCACCTCCCTGGTTTAAGCGATTCTCCTGCCTCAGCCTCCCGAGCAGCTGGGATTACAGGTGCCTGCCCCCACGCCCAGCTAACTTTTGTACTTTTAGTAGAGATGGGGTTTCACCATGTTGGCCAGGCTGGTCTCGAACACCTGACCTCAGGTGATCCACCCACCTCGGCCTCCCAGAGTGCTGGGATCACAGATGTGAGCCACCGTACCCGCTATAATAACCATTTTAATATATGTGTGTGTATGTAACTCATAACATCATGTTGTGTACCTTAAATATACACAATACAATTTATTTTTTAAAAGGTTAAAAGGTTATACAAAGTATATTATCAGATAAGGGGTTAATTTCCAAAATATATAAGAGCTCAAGTGATTCTCCTGCCTCAGTCTACTGAGTAGCTGGGACTACAGGTGTACACCACCAGCCTGACCAATATTTTTTTGTATTTTTAGTAGAGATGGGGTTTCAGCATGTTGGCTAGGCTGGTATCAAACTCCTGGCCTCAGGTGATCCTCCTGCCTCAGCCTCCCAAAGTGCTGGGATTACAGGCGTGAGCCACAGTGCCCAGCCCTGAGTGTTAAGTATCTTGAATGTAAAATCAGGAAACCCTTGACTGCCTTCAAACACACGGGGAAGGTTCAGGATCTGGAATTTGTTTTGTCTCTTCCACTTGGTGTGAGAAGCTACAAAATCAGGAACCCCTATTCCTTCACAAGGGCAGCCGAGTCTGGCCTGGTCTTGGGCTGGCATAGATTCCGCTTAGCCTCCTGCTCTTCTGCACTCATGACCAATAGGAAAAATCTTCCAGAACTGCATGCTTGTGGGGAGAAAAAGCCCACAGCTGCCTAGAAATACCAGTCGGCGTAGGGCCCTGCTTGCCCCCTCGCCAGCGAGCTTTATTAGACATGGAGAATCCAGGTCATACACGCCCCTGACATGAATGCAGAGCTAACTTACACTGGGCTCCTACTTGCCAAGTGGATTCAGCCACTAGACTGGCAGACAACTGGCAAAGACTGAGCACAGAACCGCGTTCCCAGGAATGCCATGCACATGAGAAACAAGAGGAATCTGTACCCGAAGTTGGGGAGGACAGTGGGTGGTCATCTCTCCCTTAGTTTTCCCTTGACCCCCACAGGCCAGGGGGTCCCCTCCCACTCGGGTAGATGACTAAACCATAGGGAACCCTGCAGTCTTAGGGATTGTCATGGTCACCCAGGGTGATTCCAGCCATCTTCCTCTCAGATGGACATGTCTTTAAATATCATTATTAAGGGATGAGCCATTTCCTAAAGCTGAACAAAATGCCAAGCACATGGGCATGGACGCTCCACAGAGGCCCTTGGGATAAATGAGTGTTTGCTTCTCTCCAACACCAACTCTAACGACTAACTTGGAAAAGATTGTCTATGATCATTATAGCAGCTTAAACGTGTGAATTGGCCACTCACTGGTATTTTGTTTTGTTCTGTTTTTTGAGACGGAGTCTTGCTCTGTCGCCCAGGCTGGAGTGCAGTGGTACAATCTTGGCTCACTGCAACTTCTGCTTCCCAGGTTCAAGTGATTCTCCTGCCTCAGCTTCCTGAGTAGCTGGGATAACAGGCACCCGCCACCATGGCCAGCTAATTTTTTGTATTTTTAGTAGAGACAGGGTTTCACCGTATTAGCCAGAATGGTCTAAACTTCCTGACCTCGTGATCCGCCTGCCTCGGCCTCCCAAAGTGCTGGGATTACAGGTGTGAGCCATTGTGCCCGGTCCACTCACTGGTATTTTTTAACCATAGTATTTCCTGTGCCTGAGCACAAATAAATAAATAAATATTAGGCATCAAACCAATAAACCATGTAGTCAACAATTTACAAAAATACATCTTTATTGTGTTCCAATGTTGTTGCGTTATACAGATACCTAGTTATATAAACTTGGTCTTCATGTTAAATATAAATTAAACACAAAAAACTAGAAACAAATCAGGAAAACCACCAGAAAATCCCTCTGAGCCATGAATCCTCATTAAAAATGTATAGTTGGGGTACCTGTAGCTGTAGGTTAAAGCAGGACTGCTTGAACTCAGGAGTTCAAGACCAGCCTGGATGATACAGCAAGATACCATC